AATCTGCGTCACGTAACTTTTTGGGGGATGAACGGTTAAAATTACTCGTGACGTGTTACGTGATTTTTAGATCACCTATTGGGTGGCACACCTGAAGAGTCGGTGTGTGCGGTTTGAGTGCAGAACAGGTGAGTGGCAGCCGTTTTACACGGAAACTTAAGCGTAGGTTTGGCTTCTTAACATGGCAAAATGAGGAACTTCTGTGTTCGCCAATAATCGCGTTAGCTGAAATGTTTTTAAAGAGCTTTTTCCTCCCTTACACAGGGGACCGAGTCCAGTCAAGCGGAGGAAATGGTTTCATGTTTATAATTTGACATATCTTCGGGTGTTGTCTAAATAAAAAGGAAGTAGCCTTGAGCTCTACAGAAGAATTCAGACATGCTTGGGCGCAGCTCGGATGAAGCTGTGTCTGAACCAGCTGTCAGCAATACCGACGCCCACGGCGGCAGGGGGTCTAAAAAGGGCACCGTTGTGGAGCGAGTGTCCAGATACGGCATGCAGGTCATGCCAGTGCCCGGGGGTTTCCAGCGTAGGACGAGGCTGCAGAGGCAGCAAGAAGTCTGTGACAGCGCCGCTCCGGAGAGGGAGTCGATCACACCCGCTATGCGTAAAAAGTACCTGAAGGAGCTGCTTCTGGGGAACTCTTCCAACAGCGGGTTTAGCAGCGTGCTGTCCTCGCAGAATTACAGCCGCTCCGGCGAGGAGGACACGGATTGGGCTTTGTATCCGATGGAGCACGCGTGGATGCTCTCAGCGGTGGAGGGCAGCTATGAAATCATCATGGATTTTATCTCAGAGGACCCCCAGCTATTAACCAGGAAGGATTTCATCAGCGGCTACTCGGTCCTGCATTGGCTGGCCAAGAGGGGACAGGACGAGACTCTGATCAAACTTTTGCGCTACGCACAAAGCGAGGGCATCCCCGTGAACGTGAACCTGAAGGGCAGCGGTGGGCTCACGCCTCTGCACCTCGCCAGCATGCACAGTCAGTACATGGTCATCAAGCTGCTGGTCGGAGCTTTCAATGCCAACGTGGACGCAATGGACTACAACGGAAAGAGGCCCTGGCAGTATCTGAGGGAAAACGCCCCGCCGGAGATGAAGGAGCTGCTGGGGGCCTGGGATGAAGAGCACAGCTGGGGATGCACGCAAAACGTCAACAAGAACGGCAACAACAACTGCGCTGGCGCAGTGAACTTGACCGCATGTGAAGAGGACGATGCTGTGGAGGCAGAGGAAGTGAAACACTTTGACCGGACTAAGAGGAGAAGCGGCTGGAGGCTTGGGTCTCTAAAAAAGCTGCTGCCCTCCTTTCCTCCTTTGCTTGGAAGCAAAACATGAGTGGGGGATGACACATACTTTCCAATATGTGCATCATCACTCCACTATTTTTATGTTAGTTTCAGAAGGGGTCGTGAAGACAGTGAAAGGCTAGTTTGTAGGCAGTGATGACTATTCAAGCGGTAAAGATCAAGCTAAATGTTAAGGCA